CGTAGGTGAGGCAGGGGGTGTGATCCTCAACTTCGTCTGGAATGCGGGCGCATGTAGTCAAAGCGGTGGATATAACCGCGCCCAATAACCCTTGCCCGTGCCAAAATGTCCATAGTGGATGTAAACCCCAAGCCTTCGTCAGGCCCAAAGCAACCAAATCTGTATTAGGAAGGCGTACATCGGCATTCTGGGTTAAAACCCAGCTGAGAAGGAATTGGGGAGAGAAATAGCAAGAAGCTAACGACAAAATATAATCGCGGTGGGTGCTTAGGTCGTAATAATGGTGAAAAGATGTTATCAAAATATGTCTTGCTCTACAGAGGTGGATACGTGTATTGGTAGAACAGCAGTTGAGAAAATGGACACTGCTATCTGGTTAGCACGTGCCACGGATATGAGCCAATTGAGTCGGGTGAAAATGCAATCAGATGGATGAAAAAGGGAATGATGCGTCACGATACTTGTCAAAGTATGTACCAATGTGGATTGTGTTCCACAGCTTTAGCTTCTGAGCTGAGTCCGTGTACTAATAGGCTTTTGATTCCACTTCTAAAGTTTTTAAACGCTGGGATGGTCACAAGATTAACGACCGTCTTGCATGTGATGGGATAAAGTGGTTCTTTAACCCTCCTTCCTCAAGTCATAGTGGGGGGGGGGCGTTTAGGAGAGAATGGTCCGCTCCGTGCGCAGGTTACTGCTTGTGTTGACAAAAGAGCAGTTAATGCATGAGGAAACGTTGTCAACTTGTTTTGTAGAAATCGAAATGATATTGAATAGCCGACCGCTAGTGCCGTGCTTATCGGATGATAAGGAAAGAAGAGCTCTGTCTCCGAACAGTTTATCGTTGTTGACGGAGAAGGATCAAAACCTAGAAGATCTCACTATGATGGAGAGTTATACGAGACGGTGGGAACAAGTCAATCATTTTGCCAATAGCTTCTGGCGTCGATGGATGAGGGAGTATAATCCAACCCTGCGTACCTCAACCAATTTGCACTCAAGTGGCGCGTAGCCGAAACCGTTACGAATCCCCCAAAAAATACGATTGATCCGTAATGTGCTACGGTACTGAATTAGTGAAATCATTACAAAATGTACAATAAAGCAAACCTCAAATATGCGGCCAAAAGCACTCAAGCAAGCGAGCCATATATGATGTCCAGATAGAGCCAAACAGTCGCTCACGTTCTTTGACCACGCAAAATTCAAATGTGTCAGGCATCGAATTAACAGATAAAGAATAATGCATGGTATTTGGGATTGATAAATGTCAATAGAGAAGCAACACACAGATAAAGTTATGTCACCATAAATCATCATGGGTTTGGAAGGATTTTCAAAAATTCAGCACCTTCGAGATTCATGTTATAAATCATTTTTCAACCGAAATAAATAGAAACGTGGTCACGAAAATGAAATGGAGAGGATATATGGAAAGGTCGTGGAAGCACGTGTTCATACAGGTGGGGTGAACATCACTGGGGCGCAATTAGTACAAGGGGGTGTGTAAGTCTATATAATACACGGCTGGTCTCCGCAACTCCATCAAGTAACGACATGGTGGTCATCTACCTCCAATAAACATACTCCTCGAATATCGCGCACCTGTTCACCGGCAGATGTTTCCAATCTCACTGTTCTTACTAGTCCGTCTGAGTCCGTGTGACTTTCTATGACTACACCCAGTGGCCAGTTGTCGCGTTGCAGCTTTTCTTCGTCTATAAGGACAACGTCTCCAACCTTCAGCGACCGTTCTCAATGCAACCACTTTTGTCAAGCTTGAAGGGTTGGCAGGTACTCTCTTGTCCAACGCTTCCAAAACATCCCTGCCAGGTAGTTCGCAAGCTTCCAACTCGAGGTATAGCAGTCACTAATAGGTTTTGACATATCTGGACCATCATCGGACCGCAATAGCAGAAGATCATTCGGCGTAAGCACCAGTCCTTGCACGTCATCGCTGGTGACGAGTACAAGCGGTCGGTTGTTGAGTATCCTTTCAGCCTCTACCAGAAATGTGCTCAAAGCTTTATCGTCCGGCGCCTGTTTTTCACATAATGCTGTTAATATTTTCCGCACCGACCTTATGAGCCGTTCCCAAATTCCTCCGCGGTGACTGCTGTAAGGTGGGTTGAAGTGCCATTGGGTTGCAGATGGCGACAGTGGTGACTGCTGTAAGGTGGGTTGAAGTGCCATTGGGTTCCAGATGGTGACAGTCGGTCTTTGCAGGGCTCGTTTGTCTAACCGCATCAACCATTCGCTCAACTGCTTTTGTGCACCGACGAAATTGGACCCGTTGTCGGAGAATACATTCGATAAAGCAGTCGCTCAACTCCTTTTGTGCACCGACGAAATTGGACCCGTTGTCGGAGAATACACCTTTTGTGCACCGACAAAATTGGACTAGTTGTCGGAGAACGCATTCAGTGGGTTGCCTCGTCTACCCACGAATCTCTGCCAGACCATAAGAAACGAGTCGGTCGACATGCTGTGTATGGTCTCTATATGCAAAGCTCGTGACTGTAAGCAGGTCATCAGGCATCCGTACCGCTTCTCCGTCGACGTCTTTTGTCTCACCCAAAATGGCCCGAAGTAGTCCACTCTAGTTTCGGCGA